CTTTCATTTCATCTTTTCTTATTATTTCTTATTATTTCTGCTTTTCATCTCATTACAAAAATTCTGCGCTTTTTCTCCATCTGCGCATAAAATCTAGACTGACAACCTGCTTGTTAAATCATGCACCTGCTTTCAGGCGTAAAAACCCTGTTGTAGAGGTCTCAGTCCTCATTTGTTAGACTTACCTGTCTTTATAAATGTAACTTACTCTCTCTCTCTTTCTCTATCTCTCTCTCTCTCTCTCTCTTTCTCTCTCTCTCTCTCTCTCTCTCTCTCTCTCTCTCTCTCTCTCTCTCTCTCTCTCTCTCTCGCTCGCTCTCTCTCTCTCTCTCTCTCTCTCTCTCTTTCTCTCTCTCTCTCTCTCTCTCTCTCTCTCTCTCTCTCTCTCTTTCTCTGTCTCTCTCTCGCTCTCTCTGTCTCTCTGTCTCTGTCTCTCTGTCTCTCTATGTCTCTGTCTCTGTCTCTGTCTCTCTCTCTCTCTCTCTCTCTCTCTCTCTCTCTCTGTCTCTCTCTCTCTCTCTCTCTCTCTCTCTCCCTCTCTCTCTCTCTCTCTCTCTCTCTCTCTCTCTCTCTCTCTCTCTCTCTCTCTCTCTCTCTCTCTCTCTCTCTCTCTCTCTCTCTCTCTCTCAAACCCAGCTTCATTGGTGTCTGATTCGAGTGCAGCAGCTCTGCTAGCAGCATACCGGCACCGAGCACAGTCTCCCATTGTGTCCGTGCTTGCATCTACATCTGCCATGTCTTCTTCTTCCGCTGGAGTGAGCCCTGATACGCCCGGCGCAGCCACAGATTCTCCTGATGTGGATTGGTCCTCTGGACCACGTCTTACAGGTCAGGAATTGCAAGGTTGAAAGAGCATACATTTTGTGTAACTAACAGATACATGTGCGCACATAAGCTACACTTACCTCCAGTGAACACCTGTTTACTCATACAGTGCAGCAAGGCATGAATATGCGTTTTTCCATGTGCTGTTTTGTAATTCTCTGCTTCGGTCAACGGTGCATGAAATTGATATTAAACACCCTTAGCGAACTATGCTATTTTTATGGTACTCGTACCTTGATCACCTATATAGCGTTGAAGTTGCAACGTAAAAATGTTATGGGGGCTGATTTATCGTTGTGACAAACGGTACGTTTTTGGGCCAAATATTCCACATAACCAGGCAGGCGCAGTGGATTGGTCAAAGACCATGATTGAGATACGAGAGGTACCTGGTTCAAGTCCTGCCTGGGAGCGGTTTTTCCAGCCGTGCTACTCCCCACAGTCAACTGGGAACTTGTGGCCAGGCACAAGGGGTACATGGATGCAGCTAATGGGGTCGTTCTCGGCACTTGTGCCAGTGGTTGTGAGACTTATCCACTCACCCCCACCGTTAGGCGCATCTGCCGTTAGGGTTTACCGGGTGTTAGCGGCCGTCGTGAGTTCCCTTTGGGAACGGACACGATAATTTACTTTTTATTCCATAGTGCATACGTATTTCACTTTGGATCGCTTATATGGCGCCATAAAATTTTACCGCCCGGAATAAAAGCTATTCTTATGGCAACAGCGTGCTAAAAATAGCGTCTATCTTGCTAAAGGTCGAAACCAAATCACGGTAATTTTCCCGTTACAACATAACGTTTTTTTGCTAAGGGTGTCTATTGATGTTCACCACCACGTAACAGCTAGCTTGGTTTGCTCTCTGCCGGTCTGCCTGGGTAGCACGAGCAATGATCACCATCTCTCAGCATCCAGTCAGTTCTGTGTGTGGAATGTCTCAGTTGCACTCACCATAGTCTATGTGCAAGTTCCCTGATTTGACACACAAAAGGCTAGGGATGATGCAGAGATTGACATCAACTCTGTATTCTTATCTGTCTCGGTATCTTTGTTTGCTTGTACATGTGCCCCCCTCTCTCTATGTTTCTCAGGGAGGCAGTCAGTAAGACAGATCGCTTCTGAAACGTGGAACTTCCTGTGCAGGTTTCAGAGCATCATCATCGTTGTGATCGTGTTTCTCTTGGCGGACAAGATCTGGAAATTTCTGGGATACTGACACTGATCGGTGAGATTTCCGAAATCGTTCTTTCTTCGTACAGGCCTCTCTACAAATAGGAAATGCACGCCATGCAGAAAACAAGTTTGTCTTTTCCTGCACAGTCAAACTACCCAGATCCGGACACCCCTAATCCGGGCATGTCCGTCCACCCGGCACCTTTCTGATCCATGTAGAGTCACAAAAATAGGCTTTTCAACTACACTAAAACCTGTCAAGGCCACCACTCGGATAAGGCGACCACCTGTCCTAGACGACCACTGAGACCAGGACCAAGGGTTGCTCTCTCCAGCGTCATGTCCCTGAAATAAGGAGACCACCTGGTTACAGAGACCACCTTTTGAAGGTCCTATGAGCGGTCGTCGTCTTAGACACGTTTCATTGTAAATACGGCTCCAAAATTTGATTGGCATAAGAAAATGTGTACTAATGTCCTGCATACAGTAAGTGTTTATATTCAGAGCTACGGGCAATTCCTAGTTACTGGCAGGGCTTGGTCCCGACCCTGCCCTGATTAGGGGAGTTCTACTGTACTTTCCAGTGGTACTCTGGTGTGGGCCGGTGCGCATTTCTGCATCCCCACCGCCTCTTTATGTTCACAAGGAGCACGCGTTTCAAAGCCTGAAGTAGAAGGTCTCTGCTGGGATGACGCCAGCACCATAGCATCATAACATAGTGGTTGAGCATTGCTGACCTATAGTGAAGGTCCCTGGTTCGAGTCTCGGTGGTTACGGTCAATGTTTTCTTCGGACCTAAACTCTCTCTCTCTCTCTCTACCCTACTTTACTCTACTAATGGATGTGAAGCAGTCAATTTAAATCTCCTTTGAACAGGCAGTGAATGTGTTTAATCATGCCAGCAGCGGGTATTTCTGATATACGAAAATAGTTCTGAGTACGAGAAATAGGTCTCGGCAGTCACGCATATTTCTGATATACGAAAATAGTTTCTGAGTACGAGAAATAGGTCTCGGCAGTCACGCATACGTGCGTGCCGTCAGTGGCAGAACTCAGCCACCACACCTCACACTGTATCAGTACCTGTTGATTGAAAAAAGAGAGTTAAATGCCATCTCCGTTCCTTGAGGAGCTCACGGCGCCCACTACGTGTACCATGGGAAATAATTCAGTAGATCGGGTGGTGCATACGTAACCGTGGACCAGGCTGTGCATACGTAACAGTGGACCAGGCTGTGCATACGTAACAGTGGACCAGGCTGGGAAGGATACATCACACCACATCTCACAATGACTGGCACAATCCATATTGTGCTCATTGTGCCTGGTCACATTTACCCAATTGGCAGTTGGTAGCAGCACAGCTGCACAATCATGCTCGCATTCTGTAATGACTACGGATATAGCTAATGCAGCTTAGCACCTTCCTGGGAAAACGTTGGCAAACGTTTCATGTGACCTTTCACTACTCAAGGCTAGAACGTCAGAATCTTATGAATCATTATTGAGCCTTTCTGTTGTTTTCTAATGTTTGTTTTTTGTTTTGATTCTCTCCGCAGGGAGGCTGAACAGTGAGCTCGACTACCGACTGGCCGACTATTTTAAAATCATTCAATCACCGTGCCCAGTGCCCAGCTGCTGCAATTGCGGTCACGGCATTCTTGCTATTCGCTGTGACATGTCCATCTACATGTATTTATGCCCATCTTTCCCCATGCCCATGGAGGAGCCGTTTCGCGATTCCGTGATGACTTCATTTTTTTGTTTTTCGTTTTTTTGCTGTCCAAGATTGGCTGTTATCACGACCTCACAGTCAGTCATCAATACGCTGTACTCGAAACTTTGATTCTGCAGTTGCCATGGCAATGACGTTAGTCACTGCATTCGTCTGAGTCGCAACGCAAACCAATTGACAGGCCGAAATAACGTTGTGCACAAGCACACTTGATTCTTTGACTCTTTCCCGTGATAATGATGCAGACTTTATCCGATGGACCTTTCCTCTTTCAGGTCGTCTCCTTCCACTGTTTGAGACTGGCAGACTCAACTGAGCATCATCATGCTCTGCAACCATATTTAATCCTTAGACATTTGAAATTCTCCCATGTCCCTATTAGAGATTTTACTTTTTCTTTGGTGGTAGTGGTGGTGTGTGTGTGTGTGTGTGTGTGTGTGTGTGTGTGTGTGTGTGTGTGTGTGTGTGCGCGTACGTACGCGCGGGCGGAGTGTGGATGTGGGAGTGCCAGTGAATGGATTTCCCTAGCTGTGTTGAGCTCCGCTTTCAGTTTTAAGATCATGACACGTTGGAACGTGGATGTGCTACACCCCCCCCCCCCCCCCATTTTTCATCTTATCTGCAGGCAGATTTGCTCATCCTCGTCTCTATATTTTCATGTCAATTTGCTATTTTTCTTATGCTTTCTGCTTTCATGACGATAGCAGGCATTCTTTACTAAAGCATTGTCTTTCATGTCGTAGCAATAATTTTTATTGGTAGTTGCCGACATACTGTGTTTTTTTCTCTCTACAAAATCCACATATCTCCAGCCACTGGGGTGAGTAATGGAGTGTGGTGGTGGGGCACATTTAAGGCCGGTATTACACTACGGCACGCGCCTTGCGTCTCACATCATG